TTTCCTGTAATAATTACTAAAAAGAATAAGAAGAAAGTTGTGAAAGTGGGAAGTCTGAATGTGTGTGGATGTTGTGCAAATGATAAGAAAGAGATGATTGTGGATGTTATGAATGAGAAGCTGGATGTCCTGGCTTTAAGTGAAGCAAAGCTGAAGGGGGTGAGAGAGTTTCAGTGGAGGAATAAATGGGATTAGGTCAGGGGTTTCAAATAGAGTTAGAGCTAAAGAAGGAGTAGCAATAATGTTGAAGGATAAGTTATGGCAGGAAAAGAGGGACTATAAATGTATTAATTCAGGGATTATGTGGAGTTAAATAAAGGTTGGATGTGAAAAGTGGGTTATAGTAAGCATATATTCACCTAGAGAAGAGAGAAGTGTAGAGGAGAAAGAGAGATTTTGGGAAATGTTGAGTGAATGCATGGGGAGTTTTGGGGATTTCAATGCTAAAGTGGGCAAAAATATTGTGGAGGAAGTAGTAGGTAAATTTGGGGTGCCAGGAGTAAATGAAAATGGGGAGACTTTAATTGAGCTATGTGTAAAAAGAGGTTTGTTAATAAGTAATACATATTTTATGAAGAAGAGGATAAATAAATATACAAGGTATGATATAGCACATAATGAAAGTAGTTTGTTAGATTATGTACTGGTGGATAAAAGGTTGATGAGTAGGCTCCAGGATGTACACGTTTATAGAGGGGCAACTGATACATCGGATCATTATTTAGCTGTAGCTACAGTTAGAGTAAGAGGTAGATGGGAAAAGAGAAAAATGGTAACAACAAGAGGGAGGTGAAACTGTATAAACTAAGGGAGGAGGAAGTTCGGGTGAGATATAAGCAACTATTGGCAGAAAGGTGGGCTGGTGCAAGTATGAGTAGTGAGGAGGTTGAAGAGAGTTGGAATAGTTTTAAAAATGCAGTATTAGAATGTGGGCAGAAGTTTGTGGTTATAGGAGGATGGGTGCTTTACAAAGCAGAAGTGTTATAAGAAGAGTAGAGTATATGGAGAGTAAAAGAAAGATGAAGAGTGGTGAGAGTTCAAAGGGAGAGCAAATGATAGAGTGGGAGAGGCACTGTCAAGAAATTTTAATGAAAATAAGAAAAAAATTTGGAGTGAGTTAAACAAGTTAAGAAAGCCTAGGGAACGAATGAATTTGTCAGTTAAAAACAGAGTAGGGGAGTTAGTAGAGGGGGAGATGGAGGTTTTGGGTAGATGGCGAGAATATTTTGAGGAACTTTTAAATGCCGATGAAGGGAGGCGGTAATTTCATGCACTGGCCAGGGAGGTATACCATCTTTTAGGAGTGAAGAAGAACAGGATGTGAGTGTGGGGGAGGTGTGTGAGGAATTATGTAGAACGAAAGGGGGTAAAGCAGCTGGAACTGACGGGATCATGACAGAAATGTTAAAAGCAGGGGGGGGATATAGTGTTGGAGTGGTTGGTACTTTTGTTTAATACACCTACCATCTGACTTACGACCGAGTTCGGTTCCGAGAAACCGGTCGTAAGTCGAAATGGACGTAAGTCGAACTTTACTACTGAATATCAATATCGCATTTTTGTAATGACTTTATTTTCTTTTCTTTTTGGTATTTCATGTTTTCTTTACTTTTTATGCTGTTTGTACTGTGTTTTATACTGTAAGGTTTAGGGTAAACACTGTGTACAACACAAATAGTTGTTTATTTCCCAGAAATTTGGCATAAAAAACACGGTCGTAAGTTAAGTGGTCGTAAGTCAGATGGTAGGTGTAAATGTATGAAAGAGGTGAAGGTACCTAGGGATTGTCGGAGAGCATGTATAGTCCCTTTATATACAGGGAAGGGGGACAAGAGAGATTGTAAAAATTATAGAGGAATAAGTTTACTGAGTATACCAGGAAAAGTGTACGGTAGGGTTATAATTGAAAGAATTAGAGGTAAGACAGAATGTAGGATTGCGGATGAGCAAGGAGGTTTTAGAGTGGGTAGGGGATGTGTAGATAAAGTGTTTACATTGAAGCATATATGTGAACAGTATTTAGATAAAGGTAGGGAAGTTTTTATTGCATTTATGAATTTAGAAAAGGCATATGATAGAGTGGATAGGGGAGCCATGTGGCAGATGTTGCAAGTGTATATGGAATTGGTGCTAAGTTAATAAATGCTGTAAAGAGTTTTTATAAGGATAGTGAGGCTCAGGTTAGGGTGTGTAGAAGAGGAGGAGACTACTTCCCAGTAAAAGTAGGTCTTAGACAGATATGTGTAATGTCACCACGGTTGTTTAATATATTTATATACGGGGTTGTAAAAGAAGTAAATGCTAGGGTGTTTGGGAGAGGGTGGGATTAAATTATGGGGAATCAATTACAAAATGGGAATTGACACAGTTGCTTTTTGCTGATGATACTGTGCTTATGGAAGATTCTAAAGAAAAACTGCAAAGGTTAGTGGATGAGTTTGGGAGTGTGTGTAAAGGTAGAAAGTTGAAAGTGAACATAGAAAAGAGTAAGGTGATGAGGGTATCAAATGATTTAGATAAAGAAAAATTGGATATCAAATTGGGGAGGAGGAGTATGGAAGAAGTGAATGTTTTCAGATACTTCGGAGTTGACGTGTCGGCGGATGGATTTATGAAGGATGAGGTTAATCATAGAACTGATGAGGGAAAAAAGGTTAGTGGTGCATTGAGGTACATTTGGAGACAAAAAACGTTATCTATGGAGGCAAAGAAGGGAATATATAAAAGTATAGTAGCACCAACACTCTTTTATGGGTGTGAAGCTTGGGTTGTAAATGCTGCAGCGAGGAGGAGGTTGGAGGCAGTGGAGATGTCCTGTCTAATGGCATTGTGTGGTGTAAATATTATGCAGAAAATTCGTAGTGTAGAAATTAGGAGAAGGTGTGGAGTTAATAAAAGTATTAGTCAGAGGGCTGAAGAGGGGTTGTTGAGGTGGTTTGGTCATTTAGAGAGAATGGATCAAAGTAGAATGACCCTACCGTATACTTTTCCTGGTATACTCAGTAAACTAATTCCTCTATAATTTTTACAATCTCTTTGGTCCCCCTTCCCTTTATATAAAGGAGCTATACAGGCTCTCTGCCAATCCCTAGGTACCTTCCCCTCTTTCATACATTTATTAAACAAAAATACCAACCACTCTAACACTATATCCCTTCCTGCTTTTAACATTTCTGTCATGATCCCATCAGTTCCAGCTGCTTTACCCCCTTTCATTCTACGTAATGCCTCACGCACCTCCCCCACACTCACATCCTGCTCTTCCTCATTCCTAAAAGATGGTATACCTCCCTGGCCATTTGTTTACCCTTGAACACTGGAAATCAAACATTTTCGCTAATTAGAACTCAATTTGAAGGTCCTTTTCATCATGAAACCAATCAAAATCATCTCTATTTCTGTAATATGTCTTGCATTCTATCAAATGATACCAAGAAAATGAGAATACAACCATAAATACTATACGAAAATATACCTGAAAGTCGGCATTTTAATCCAAATACACCTACCATCCGACTTACGACCGAGTACGGTTCCGAGAAACCGGTCGTAAGTCGAAATGGTCCTAAGTCGAACTTTACTACCTGGAGTTTACCTGGAGAGAGTTCCGGGGGTCAACGCCCCCGCGGCCCGGTCTGTGACCAGGCCTCCTGGTGGATCAGAGCCTGATCAACCAGGCTGTTGCTGTTGGCTGCACGCAAACCAACGTACGAGCCACAGCCCGGCTGATCAGGAACTGACTTTAGGTGCTTGTCCAGTGCCAGCTTGAAGACTGCCAGGGGTCTGTTGGTAATCCCCCTTATGTGTGCTGGGAGGCAGTTGAACAGTTTCGGGCCCCTGACACTTATTGTATGGTCTCTTAACGTGCTAGTGACACCCCTGCTTTTCATTGGGGGGATGGTGCATCGTCTGCCAAGTCTTTTGCTTTCGTAGTGAGTGATTTTCGTGTGCAAGTTCGGTACTAGTCCCTCTAGGATTTTCCAGGTGTATATAATCATGTATCTCTCCCTCCTGCGTTCCAGGGAATACAGGTTTAGGAACCTCAAGCGCTCCCAATAATTGAATATCAACAAAACATTTTTGTAATGACTTTATTTTATTGTTTTATTTTGGTATTTTATGTTTTACTTTACTTTTTATATTGTTAGTACTGTATTTTATACTGTAAGGTTTAGGATAAACACTGTGTACAACACAAATAGTTGTTTATTTCCCAGAAATTTGGCATAAAAAACATGGTCGTAAGTCGAGTGGTCCTAAGTCGAGCAGGTCGTAAGTCGGATGGTAGGTGTACATGGTCATTTTTTTTTTTCTCATTATGCACCGTGTGCTGGAGGATTTTTTTTTTATACTGTGGACACTGACCACACAGGCCCATTCTCCCACATGTGGGCCTACCAGCTTTCTCCCGCTTCGTTTGAAACTGCTAGAATTTTGGAGTATAGATACGTCAAAAACACTGGCTGCTAAGATGTATATATATGTCAGAAACAGTGAAAGGGTTAATACAATCATTTATCGGAATTCATTACTTGTAATAATTGAGGTTTCGCTGTACTTGTCCAAAGCTCTCTATCACACCAGTGCCTGCATTCTGAGGGATGGGTGGGAATGTTGCTATTCTAGGGGTGAGCTAATAGTGATATCAGCACACTTCTGGAAAGACAGTAACTGAGTGACTGTTGGTGACAGTACGTATTTTCTTCTTTGGGTCACCCTTCCTTGGTGGGAGGCAGCTGACGAGTTAAAAAAAAAAAATTCTTTAGCATTTTAAATGTCACAGTTTCCTACATAGGCAGACATGGATTGACTGGCAAATGGCGCTACTAATTATGGTAAAGATAGACAGTGTGCAGGGCTTTGTCATGACTTGAGGAAGCTCTGCAGACTGTGCATGTCTACCACTTCCAAATTTCTTATAAATAATGGAAATGGATTAATCATGTGTTTCCTTCAAACCATTCAAGAATATTCTTATGTTACTAATAATAAAATTTAGCAAGCAGATTTAAGTATCAATAGCATACCTGGTGAAGACCTGCTGAGCCACTGGGTACTGCAGCAGAGGTGGAAGTGGTAGATGCTGGGTGATGGTCACTAGTATTGCTCTTGGTAGTTGTGGAGAGGAGGTTTTGCCGAGAATAGCTGCGGAAATTGTCCCAATAGTTGTTGGCTCTAGTCCCAGGAGGAACCTGAGAAAAAATAATCAACTTAGAGATGCATTCTTCATCTACTAACCTATTTAATTGCTTTTTTAACACGTCGGCCATTTCCCACCGAGGCAGGGTGACCCATCCCTCATACATACCACTGTCTTTGCAGAGTTGCTCAGATATGACAGCTTAGATAAAAAATATCTGCTACATTGGAGCCACCATCAATATTTAAAAAATGTAAGAGAATTATATATCTTTTCAGTAAATGCCTCCTCAAAAATTAATACAAAATATCTAACCTGGTTATTGAGAAGATCTGTAGTCTGATGATGAAGTGGATGTGCAGAGGTTAATGTTGACCAGTGGTGGTCCTCTGGAGGTTGCGACTGTGGCCTCTCCTCACTCATACGATCTAAGTGCAGCAGAGGATGTGATGGACTATTGTCTACAATTCCAGCTACTCCCAGCATGGAGGCTAGTTGCTCAGAGGGCTGCTCTGTACCAGGTGTTGGAGCTTGAGAGCCCCAAGTTCCTGGCTGGTCTCTTATGTCTCCTAAACGACCATATATAGGGTTTGTGACACCTGTTGAGTGACCTTCTTCACCAGGTTGGCTGAGGAACAAGGGGTAAGAGAGAGACTGTGGCACACGAGATACACTTTCCTTTCCATCCCGGGTAAGTGAGGCAGCAAGAAGATTGTGATGCAGTGGGTATGATGGACGAGTTCCAGCTGTCACTTCCTCCTCATCATCATCATCTTCCTCTTCATCCTCCTCTTCCTCACTCCTCCTAGTTCCAGCCCTTCCTCTTCTTCTGTCAACTCGTCCATTTCCAGAATCAGGCATTGGAACTGAGTCCACTTGATCCCTTCTATCAAGGAGCTAACAGAAAATATACAGAAAGTATGTAAGTTTATTCAGGTACTTGTATATACATAAATACAGTTATATAGATTATCATACATAGCAGCATATGTGTAGAGAACCTAGGATAACCTAAAAAGTCAGACAGAGTGACTTATTTCCATCAGAATTGAAAGAAAAATTATAGATTTACAGCAAGAGACATCATACTAACAATATCATGCTATCTCTTCCAAAGATAACAGCTTTCCCTTACACAACTACACATATCTAACCGGCAATCTGCAAAACATAAGAGACATAAAAGACATTATTACAAAGGAGGTAATTACCTATTTCAAAGAAAAATATAAACAATGATAAAGGTACAATGTCTTCATTGAGTAATGTCATAAGTGGGCTACTACAACAATTGCTACCTGTTCTATTAATGTTTCTCAGTTATATAAATGAATGGCCAGAAAGAATTAAGAACCATATGAACATGTTTACAGCTGATGCAAAAATCGTATGCACTGGAGCAATAGAAACAGATGACTATGGATCCCTGCAGCAGACCTGGATAGGTTGAGCAAACAGAGTAAGAAATACATGGTGAATGCAATATGGATAACTGCCAAATAATAAAAATGAGAAAAAGTGAAAATGGGCAACATGAATAAAACAGACTGAGTAAAAAACATTAAAGACATCGGATGGTAGCACACTTGGCTCACACACACTGAGTGTCCATGGTTCAATTCCCAGTATGGGCAGAAACATTGGGTGTCTTTCTTTACAATTGCTGTCCCTGTTCACCTAACAGCAAGTAGGTATCTAGGTGTTAGCTGACTGGTGTGGGTCACATCTTGGAGACAAGATTAACCTAAGTTGCCGGAAATTCTCTGCATAACCAGGGGTTCTCTATATAGAATGTCACTCTGCCAGCTAAATCTTTATAAGTTGACACATCCTACTAGTTGACATAGTAAGAGAAGAGGATACGTGATAACCACATCAGTGGCATTATAAGGGGGGCAGGTGCCCCGGGTGACACCATCAAGGGGTGACACCATACAGCAGGGATTCTCAATGTTTCCTCCATCATTAACCCCCTCGGTTTGATGTATTTCTCCATTTACTCCTCTACTTCCATACAAAAAATTTATCGCCATCATAAAGGGACAGAAAAACAAGGTAGTCAGAAAAAATAAATTGTTCAGGTTTTGCACAACAGGTACATCAAATATTTACCCCTTGTCAGGTAATCTTTTACCACCAAGGGGTAAATTTACCCCTGGTTGAGAATCACTGCCATTGAGCCTCTAAACGTGACATTAATGCCCAAAACAATGGTGCAGCAACATAAGAGAAAAATCCTTTGTTTCTATATAGCCTATTATAAGATTACAGAGTACACATAGGCAATGTTTTTCTTAAATTTTCAATTTTTTTTTTTTTGCATTGTTGAAGATGAATAAATGTAGTATTTGTGCTCAAAGTGGTAACTGGCTTTGTTTCTTCAGTATTACTACAATTATTTATTTTATCATTAATAAAGTTGAGTAGTATTCTCCCATTCAGTTTATGGCACTTAAACATTCTCACTGCAGTAATGATGTAACTGGAGTTTACTCCCCCCCATCCCCCCACCCTTGGATTTCATGGGGGGTGACACCAAAGGTGCCACCCCGCCCAAGGTGACACCAACCCTAGCAACGCCACTGAACCACATACAGTATGATTACTAAAGGCTTGTGTGAGAGAGAGTTAGACAGGAGTGAATGAAGGCATGTGGTTTTAAACCCTTTCACTGTCCAGACCGCTGAAATTAGTGCTGCTCTCAGTGACCGCTTTAAAAAAAAAATGAAATGGTAAGGAATCTTTATCTGAAGGTAATGACACCAAAAGTACAAAATTTGATGGAAAACCTGCAAAATTATGCAGGCACAAAGTCAGTGATCACAGCACAATTTACACAATGATGATTTTGCTGGATTTGAGCCCTATTTTAAGTCAATTCCACTGCTTAACCCTTTCAGGTTCCAAGGCCAAAATCTGAAGTGGTGCTCCAGTGTCCAAAATTAAGGAGCATATTTTTGTGAAGGTAATAAGACAAAAAAAAATTTCTGATCAGTACTTACCAAGTTACAGTGCCGAGAGTTTGTCCAAAATGACCTGGTGGCGGCAACATCGACGATTTCCACATACGCGCATTACTTTATTTAGCAGTTTTTGTAGTTCTTTTCTTTTCTTTTCCAATTTTTTTCTTTTCCTACTAACATCTGGGGCCTGAGAGACCAATACTGTATATATTTTTTATTATCACACTGGCCGATTCCCACCAAGGCAGGGTGGCCCGAAAAAGAAAAACTTTCACCATCATTCACTCCATCACTGTCTTGCCAGAAGGGTGCTTTACACTACAGTTTTTAAACTGCAACATTAACACCCCTCCTATAATGTATATATATAAGCTCACTGTATTGAACACAATAACCGCACTAAAGTTATTATCATATTATTGTTTACCACTGTTGTTTATTACAATAAACATGCACAAATCTTGTATAATACTAATGTTCTATCATATATTTACATATTTACAATCACTGGACATGGTTTTAGAACTGCTGGAGCTTGTGGAACTCCTTGAAACAAGGCATCATGCACAGAGGCACCTTACATTCCTCAAACATAAACCGAGTGTCTTTGCGTCTTTGTTGCCATCGTTTTGTTTGTGCACAGACGATGCATCTCTTCTGAGCAAATTTCTTCTGAGTTGAAGGAAGCTGTATTATGAAATGATCACCTTCCCTCCTCAAACGCTTGGGTATATCCTGAGGAGTTCGAAGACCTTGTTGTATAGCAGGTGTTGTTACCTGGTACTTCATTATGAGTTGTCTGACAAAAGACAAACAAAATTCACCATACGGTGGTCTGTTGCCAGTCTTCATTTGGTACATATTATATGCACTGAGCATTGAAATGTCCATGAGATGGAAGAAAAGTTTCATGTACCACTTGTAACTCTTACGAACACGATCGACAAAGCCAATCTGCATGTCACATTTGTCAACCAAGCGCATGTTTTGTGTATAATCAATCACTGTCACTGGTTTTCGAATACGTTCATTAGTCACTCGATCAACTTTGCCACTGTCTTGCATTTCATTACGATGAATGGTTGTCAACAATGTGACATCTCGTTTGTCATGCCACCGTAATGCCATGATGTCATTGGCAGTAAACACTTGCACGTCATCACCACGAGCACCTGAATTGAGCCTGGGCATATGTTTACGATTAGAACGCACTGTGCCACACACATCTGTCTTGTTCACTTGCAAGAAATCGCTGAGTAATGGGCTTGTGTACCAGTTATCAGTATATAATGTATGCTCCTTACCAAGATAAGGTGCCATCATGCTTCTCACTATGTCACCTGAGATACCCAATAACATCTTGGTATCTTTCAATGTTTTACTTCCTGTGTATACAACAATATCCAATACCAGGTCACTGTCACAGTCACAGAGTACAAACAGTTTTATACCAAAGCGTTTCCTCTTGCTCGGTATATACTGCTTGAATGACAGCCTACCTTTGAAAAAAATCAAAGACTCGTTAATTACAAGATTCTTGAATGGATAAAAGTACAGTGGACCCCCGCATAACGATTTTAATCCGTGCAAGAGGGGTAATTGTTATGCGAAATAATCGGTATGTGAATGAATTTTCCCCATAAGAAATAATGGAAATAAAATTAATCCGTGCAAGACACCCAAAAGTATGAAAAAAAATTTTTTTTACCACATGAAATGTTAATTTTAATACACACAAACTGAAAAAGGCATGCACACTTACATGACACTTACTTTTATTGAAGATCTGGTGATGATTGATGGGATGGGGAGGGGAGAGGGGAGTTGTTAGTGTTTAGAAGGGGAATCCCTTCCATTAAGACTTGAGGTGTCGAGTCCTTTTCTGGGGTTATTTCCCCTTTCTTCTTTTAATGCCACTAGGCCCAGCTTCAGGAGTCACTGGATTCTTTCACACAACATATCTGTCCATAGTGGCCTGTACCTCTGTTCCTTTATGACATCCTAAAGTGTTTCACAACATTGTCAGTGTACAGGTTGCCAACACGGCTTGCAATTCTTGTGTGAGGGTGGATTTTCATCCCTGAAGGTTTGCACTTCAAGCACTTTGCACAGATTTCTTTAAACTTTGTAGTAGGCAACTTCTTCAATTTCTCTCTCCCCTCCTCTGAACCGTTTCCTCAGGTTGGCCTCTTGCTCTTGAAGTTGATCTATCAGCTCATCAGTGGTTAGTTCTTCATTGTCCCCCTCCACCAACTCTTCCACATCCTCCCCACTAACCTCCAACCCCAAGGACTTTCCCAATGCCCCAATGGATTTTCCCCAAGTGGCATAATCCCCTCAGGGTTAGCCTCAAACCCTTGAAAATCCCTTTTGTTACACATTCTGGCCCACAGTTTCTTCCAAGCAGAGTTCAAGGTTTCTTAGTCACTCCCTCCAAGCCTTATCTATAAGGTTTACACAATTGAGGATATTAAAGTGCTCTCTCCAAAACTCTCTTAGAGTCAGTTGAGTTTCTGAGGTCACTAAAAAGCACCTTTCAAACAGAGCTTTTGTTTTACAGTTTTTTGAAGTTTGCAATAACCTGCTGGTCCATGGGCTGCAGGAGAGGAGTGGTATTAGGAGGCAAAAACTTCACCTTAATGAAGCTCATTTTCCCCATAAAGTCGCTCTGCCACGTCTGTAGGATGAACCAGGGGCATTGTCTAACACCAGGAGGCACTTAAGTTCTAATTTCTTTTCAGTTAGGTATCTTTACATTGGGGGCAAATGATGGTGTAACCAGTTATAGAAAAGTCCCTGTGACCCATCCCTTACTGTTTGCCCTCCACAGCACACACAAATTATCCTTGAGGACATTCTTTTGCCTGAACGCTCTGGGGAGTTTCGAGTGATCCCATAATAAAGGCTTAACTTTGCAATCACCACTAGCATTGG